TTTATATGAATCTAATAAAAACTCAATTTTCAAAAAAATGTAAAAATGGGCTGTTTCTATTGTCCGCACCCCATATACCCGGGTATAAATCAAAATTTGGCACTTTAAATTGCTGCAGGGTATAGCCCACGGGGGTCTACATGTCGGATAAATACGGTACTATAGGTAATTTGATAATGGCCAATTCATTTTGGATAACTTTGGATTAACAACTACCAATTACCATAGAGTTCGCTTAATTATAGAAGATGGAACAGAGCTTTATGAAATATTATCGTTATGCAATTCTTATCGTCCACAAAAATAAAGGCAAAAAAATAAAAGTCAGAAAGGTTTGTCTTTTAACGTTGATATCTCAAGAACAGCTGATCCGTTTTCAATGATTTTGGGTTCAAACGAATGTTAATAACCTTGTGTTCGTTTAAGCCCAAAATCATCAAAAGGAATTAGTAGATAATAAGATATTGACAGAATATTTTGGCTGACCATTTTCTCTTCTGTTTTTTCTTGAGCTCATTACTGCAAATGATTTGCATTATATAACGACGATATTTATGATCAATTATTCTATTCCTATGATTATTGATACTCAAAATTATCTCAAATGAATTGGTCGCCTTCAAATTACCTATAGTACGTACGTACGCACACACGAATTCCGGCTACGTATTTATGCGTGAACGATACTTATGCTGTTTTTGGTAAGTTACTAACCAATTTTAATATTATCTGTGGCCGCAGAAAATGACCAACGGTAATATAAACGAGTCGGCAATATGCCCAAGTTCCATAGTAACGATGTGGGTACTTCTTGAAGGGAAAGCGAGTGCCATAGAAGTTGACATTGATCAGACAAATTATATTACTCGTAGTTTCAACTTAAACCGCCTTATTCCTAATCTTCGTGAAATATTCGAAGATCTTAAGAATGTTAAGCCTGAAGATACCGAATTTTTTACCTTTAATGACCGCGTAAATCCACTTCGACTAGGAACCAACCTTAATCCCCTATCTGGGGATACATCTGACACTGAACCACTTGTAGTCCGGTATCCGCTCTCGACTTCAACCGGTAAGCTGAACTTTTTTTTTTTCTCTCTCTTACGCCATAATAACTTGTCTTTTTATCACAATTTTCAGTCATTGTTCGTTGCAATTTTTCAACATCGTGGTTTAAGTCTAGTTTCTCACATACTAGTGGGCTCTGGTATCTTGTCCGTAATGTTGCAGAATCGAAATTCCAAACACTACGATTAGATAAAGTTCAATATAGTTTTATATATAATGAGATTAATGGCAAGCTACAAATAGAAAACGAATTTCAATTTAACAAAATGATATCAAACATCGAGCCAAACTGTAAGGATGAACGTGAAGTCAGCATTTCAATCCAAGTAACAGGTAATGCCAATATTTTGAATATTATTAGGTTTAGCTTAAATACATATTTACTCGCGTTTCATTTATAGGAAGGAAGGCATACGGAGATTGGGAAATCGGCGAGGCCTTAAATGAGTTCTTGCATCAAAAGGGTTCAACTATGTTCGATATTCGATCTTTTAATATTGATGATCTTCCGAGACCTAACCCTCCAATCTCTGAAGAGACTATTGTTCAACTTATTGCTGAACTTAAAAAAAAGAAAAGTGCATTCGGTATTGTCAATCGTAATGAATCAACTTGTCGGGAATTTATCTCGCCTTTTATGTCCACAGCAGTTACCCATGTCCAAGAAGAAGAAAAAGGGTTATCACTCAAAGCCGAAGAATGGATCAATGGGACAAAAGCTTATGGGCCTATTGAATACTCGATTTCTATTGAAGAGGTGCTTGTTTTAGTTCAAGAAGTGAAGAAAGATGACTTCGAAAAAGGAACTGCACAAAATATCGCACAGATTCATAGCGCCGTCGAGGTATTATTGTATTTATATGATAATTATTGGTTTTACGTTTACTCAACTGACATACTATATTAGTCACGAAAACGAAAAATTAAGATGGACCCGGGAGATGAAGAAGTTCCTATTGTAATGTATGGAATCGTTACAAATGCATTACAATGGTATTTTCTTCGTTGGGCAGGTTCTTCAGATGATCCAACAGTTGAATTGTCCGGACCGCATATTTGTGAATTCGATAGTAATAATATGCAACAAGTAAAAATAATTCTCAGCTATATTGCCTACATTCTCCAGTATCAAGTCCGGGGACATAACGATGACTCTAAACGTACCCGTATTAAGAGGCGTCGTACTAGCTAGATATTAAGTTTTTTATGTGCTCTAAATTAGCTCATTTTTATATGTATATAGTTTTTATGACTGATTGCAAAGTGTTTTTTTGAATGTCCAATAAAAACGAGAAGCAGATATTATATATGATATGGAGTTTATGATATATGTTTTTTTCATTGGTTCGGTTTACATCTCATCAATGGTATATTTGTAATGACAATTTTCCAACCAATAACGATAAGAGGGCAAGATTAAAAATAGAGAATTGCTATTGCCACCTCCATTTTTGCTAATGCACTTTTCGACCCTTCTGACTCTAGGGAAAGTCTACGGACACGTACCAGTCATGTGAAATTGCACGTATCCTAAATGAAGTTCAGCAATTAGTACGCGTGCATAGTACATTTAGATAGTTTAGGTTCATGTGGCTGGTACGTATCCGTAGCAGGGTAGAGTGAGAGGCACGGCAAAATTTTTAGGCATGCCCAAAGGGTATGCCTCTGGTTTTTCAGATTTAAGAGAATGCCCCATAGGCATGCCCCCAAAATTTTCTGTAAAATGATTTTTTTATTATATAAATATTTGAAAAAAAGGCATGCCCATAGACCCTGTGCCCCTCACTCTATAGCAGGGACACGGAAAAATCCAATTTTGATTTGTAAAAAGTTTATTTCAATATATATAGTTAAAAAATTCTTCGCAAATGCGCCTTTCTTTTCATAAGTGCCATTTGATTAGAGCAGTGGCTTACTGGTTTATGGTCTCACTAACCTTTTGTTGCCGGGTAATTAATTTGTTGCAACATTGGCTAATTAAAGATTGGATACAAAAGCTAAATACATGGGTGAAACTTTGATCTTGTTGACGAGCATTATCCAATTATTGACTTGTGGTTGGGCATTCGTCTCCCATCCCACCAAATTGCGACCATCCTTTTTAAGTTTCCACCAACGACGGCTAAACTTCTTACACCTTGTATATCATTAGCCTCGAAGATACGCTTGATGACCTCAAGCCACTCAATGGGATCTTGATTCTCACTTGAGAAAGTTGGTATTGGAACAACATTTAATTCTTGTTGTTGGTGCCGTTGTATCTGAGGTTGATCTATACCACTATACCCCATCCCGCCTTTCTACACACCATATTAGCACAATTAAATACAATAAATAGGAAAAGATTTTTCCTACAAATAATATATCTACATCATATATAGCTAAACTAAATCTAGTGAAGACCAGGTAGCAGAGTTTTGGGCCAAGAATAAATTAGTTCTAGCTATAGATCCCTGTAATAATTCATGTAATCCATTCAAATAATGTAACGCATAATTATTCAATAAAGACCAAGACCAGGCCTCATTTTTTTAAAAAAAAAAATAAAAATAAAAATAAATCCTATACTAATATCTATTAACCACTTAATATATCTATTTGTACACATAATGAATAAGAATACAATATCAATATTAAACAACAAGTATGGTAAGATTTTTGTCTTTTCAATAATCTAAATATTATAAATATTA